CTCCTCAAGCCAGAGTTCTTTTTTTTTTTTTTTTTTTCCTTTTAGAGGCCAGGTCTCACTCCGTTGCCCAGGCTGGTGGGCAGTGACTCCATCAAGGCTCGCTGCAGCCTCTGACTTTTGGGCTCAGGCGATCCTCCCAAGCAGCCTTCACTTCAGCCTCCCAAGTAGTTAGGATGCAGGTATAAGTAACCACACCTGGCTACTTTTATTTATTTATTTTGTACAGATAGAGTCTTGAGGCCAGGGAGTGGCTCATGCCTGTAATCCTAGCACTTTGAGAGGCTGAGACAGGTAGATCACTTGAGGCCAGGGTTCGAGATGAGTCTGGCCAAGATGGTAAAACCCCATCTCTACTAAAAATACAAAAACAGCAGCCAGGCAGCACCTATAATCCCAGCTACTCAGGAGACTGAGGCAGGAGGATCACTTGAACCCAGGAGGCAGAGGCTGCAGTGACCCGAGATCACGCCACTGCACTCCAGCCTAGGCAACGGGGCAAGACCCAGTCTCAAAAAAAAAAAAAAAAAAGAGAGATAGGATCTCGTTCTGTTGCCCAGGCTGGTCTCAAATTCCTGGCCTCAAGGAACCCTCCCGCCTCAGCCTCCCACCGTGCTGGGATGACAAGTATGAGCCAGGGCACCAGGCCAGGGTTGTGGTTTTGTTGTCTGTGCTGTTTGCCCATCAGCAGCGCTCGGTCCATCACTCTGCCCTGGCATTGGCCATCGGTGTGTGATCTGCCTGTTCACACGTCCCCCTCCCTCACTAGACAGCCCACCCCATGAGGGCAGGCGCTGGGCATGATGGCTCTTGAGCCCTGCTACATAGCTTGCTGTGCCATGTGCAAGGAAGGCACTTACTGATGAACAAATACATGAATGACAGTGATTGAAAGAATGAGGGAGTCCTACACGTCAGAGCTGGAAAACTGAGCTGAGGTGAGAAACTATTAGTCCATTGTCACCGGGTTCCCTGAACACTTCTCAATTGAAAAGAGCACCTTCCCAAAGGGACAGCCACTCCTGAGGATGCAGGAAGAAACACTCTTCCCTCCCCATTGCCAAAGAGCGGGCTATACGTGCATGCGTGCGTGCGTGCGTGCGTGTGTGTGTGTGTGTGTGTGTATTTTTTTTTTTAATAAATAACTTAAGGCTGGAGGGTGGCTCATGCCTATAATCCTAGCACTTAGAGGGGCTGAGACAGGAAGATCGCTTGAACTCAGGAGTTTGAGACTAGTCTGGGCAACATGGCGAACCCTGTCTCTACAAAAATTAGCCGGGCATAGTGGCGTGCCTATAGTCCTAGCTACTTGGGAGGCTGGGGCAGGAAAACTGCTTGATCTGGGGAGGTCGAGGCTGCATGAGCCGAGATCATGGCACTGTACTCCAGCCTGGATGACGGAACGAGACCCTGTCTCAAAATGAATAAATAAAAAAATAATTTAAATCCTTTGATTAACATCATTTCTGTTTAATATGCTTTTAAGAAATAAAAAATTCTGCCATATTTCACCAAGTGAACAGGCAGGCTGCTCATGCATCGCTGAATTTCCACTTGAGCGAGTCCTCAGCCCGACACGAACACAGGCAGGAACCGGCTGCTGGCCAGCTCTTGGCTTTGCATGGTGGTGTCCCAGGTATGTCGTACATGAAGGAATCTGGGGACAACTTAGGAAGACAATTTTTTAAAAAAAAACCCCAGTGAGGCCTAAGCTACCGGGGAGGGACTTGGTAGCAGCCCCCAAGCGATGGCATGATAGAAACCGCATCTTCTTTGTGCATGCTTTTACAATGAATTGCTTCCTTTTCCTTTTCACTTCTGTGAAAAATAAAATGTAACAGAACAAAATCAACTCTCTTTTACTTCCAGACTAGACGTCACAGTGTACCAGTGGTTGTCACAGCAGTGACAAATGCCAGCCGTGGGCCGTGGAGTCGGGCAGGTCTGAGTTTGGAGCCTCATGTCATCACTTGTCTGTCAGTATCATGCCCTTAATCTCTGTATGTGTCAGCTTTTCGAATAAACTGGGGATAACTGCCATAACTGTAAGCTTCTTGTTCTGGTGGGGACTAAATGAGATCACGTGAGTCAAGTGCCAAGTGTGGTGTGTGGCACAGGAGAGATGCTTAATGACTGTTAGGTGTTAATGTTATTATTGTTATTGCTCTAATATACTTCCGGCACTCATTCCTGATCTCATATTTGAACATGTTAGTGTTCATACTGTATGCTCACAGTGGCATATTAATTTTAGATTAGAAATTACCTATTTTCTGTAGTCAGCTCCTCCTCCTACTCCATTTTTTCCCAGGAGCTGCTGTTCCAGGCAATAACCACGTCTTCAACTTTTTTTTTTCTCGAGATGGAGTCTCGTTCCATCATCCAGGCTGGAGTGCAGTGTCATGATCTCGGCTTACTGCAATCTCTGCCTTCTGGGTTCAAGCAATTCTCCTTTCTCAGCCTCCAGAGTAGCTGGGACTATAGGCACGCGCCACCACACCCCGCTAATTTTTTTATATTTTTAGTAGACACAGGGTTTCACCTTGTTGGTCAGGCTGGTCTTGAACTCCTGACCTCAGGTGATCCATCTGCTTCTGCCTCCCAAAGTGCTGGGATTTCAAGCATGAACCACCACACCCGGCCCATGTTTTCAACTTTTATATTTCCCATAGTGCTTGGTACAGTGCAGAGCAAACAGTGGGCCTTATAAAATGCTGCTGAGTTGAATAATGAAAAGACAACAGAGTACCGAGTACTGTGAGGATATAGTCTGTACTCTAGACATGCACGACCTGTGGTCAGCAACCTCCACTAATTGACTTAGGATCACTGAAAGCAACTCTTACAAAAACTCTTACTAGCTTTTCTCAGAATCTTTATAAAAGGGTACCTGGAAGCCTCATCAAACTGGCATTTTAATGGTGTCTTATTTGGCTGACTCACCTATAAGACACTGTGATAAGCTCTTCAAGGGGAAAAACTTATTGCAAGTTTGGAAGCATAGCAGAATAAGCAAACGTATTCTTTAAGGACCAAGGTAAGGTGTATCCTGTTTTTAAAAACATAAGATCTTATTATAAGAATCACACTCAAGGCTGGGCACAGTGTCTCATGCCTGCAATCCCAGCACTTTGGGAGGCCAAGGCAGGCGGATCACCTGAGGTCAGAAGTTTGACACCAGCCTGCCCAACATGGTGAAACCCTGTCTCTACTAAAAATAAAAAAAAATAGCTGAGTGTGGTGGCCAGCACCTATAATCCCAGCTACTTAAGAGACTGAGGCAGAAGAATCATTTGAACCCGGGAGGCGGAGGTTGCAGTGAGGCAAGATTACGCCACTGCACTCCAGCCTGGGTGACAGAGTGAGACCCTGTCTCCAAAAAAAAAAAAAAAAAAAAAAAAGAATCACGCTTAAAATAGTATGAGGGGCCAGGTGCAGTGGCTCACGCCTGTGATCCCAACACTTTGGGAGGCTAAGGCAGGTGGATCACTTCAAGTCAGGAGTTCGAGACCAACCTGGCCAACAAGGTGAAACCACTGTCTCTACTAAAAATACAAAAATTACCTGGGCATGGTGGTGGGCACCTGTAATCCCAGCTACTTGGGAGGCTGAGGCAGGAGAATTGATTGAACCCAGGAGACAGAAGCTGCAGTGAGCCGAGATCGTGCCAGTGCACTCCAGCCTGGAAGACAGAGTAGACTCCCTCTCAAAAAGAAAAAAAAAACAATAGTATGAAGGAAGAATGGGAGTTATTGTTTCAGGGGTATGGAGTTTCCATGTGGAATGGGAAGGTTCTAGAGGTGGGTCAGCGTGATGGCTGCATAACAATGTGAATTTCCTTAATGCCGTCGGACTAGATGCATGAAAGTCGTTAAAACGGTAAAGTTGATGTTATGTATATTCCACCGCAGTTAGATAAAAGTATAAAGAAGTTTAAACGTCATCTGCTTTCACACATCCCTCTAAGCATATGAACATATACAGAGTACAATTTTCAATAAGCTTTTCTCACTCAGCGGTATTATTTCTTTTTTAAGCTCCAATAATCTTAAGGGTAACCTTAAATGAAATAAGTAAAGGAATAAGGATCATCCATAAAAAACAAACAACATCTTCCAGATTATCTTTTTTCCTGAGACAGGGTCTTGTTCTGTCGCCCAAGCCAGAGTGCAGTAGAGCGGACACTGCCCACCATAGCCTTGAGCTCCCAGGCTCAGGTGATCCTCCGGCCGCAGCCTGCAGAGGAGCTGGGACCACAGGTGTGTGCCACACCCAGCTGATTTTATTTACTTATTTATTTATTTATTTATTTATTTTTATTTTTTTCTGAGACAGAGTCTCACCCCATCACCCAGGCTGGAGTCAGTGATGCGATCTGCACGCACTACAATCCCCGCCTCCTGGGTGCAACAATTCTCCTGCCTCAGCCTGCTGAGTAGCTGGGATTATAGGTGCATACCAGCACACCTGGCTAATTTTTTGTATGTTTAGTAGAGATGGGGTTTTACCATGCTGGCCAGGCTGGTCTTGAACTCTTGACCTCGTGATCTACCCTCAGCCTCCCAAAGTGCTGGGATTACAGGTGTGAGCCACCTCGCCTGGACAATTTTTTTTTTTTTTATTTTTATAGACACAGAGTTTCACTACATTTCCCAGGCTGGTCTTGAACTCCTGGGCTCAAGTCATCCTCCTGCCTCAGGCTCCCAAAGCGCTGGGATTACAGGCATGAGCTACTGTGTCCCGCCCAGTTATCTGATGTTGACCATAGCACGGCGGGGCTTTCTAAGAGTCCCCTTATCCCTGCACCCCTTAAACTTTAGATGGGTTCAGGCACTGATAGGCATTACATTGTTTACACAGGAGATTTCAGGGTCAGAAGGAAAAGGCTGCCTTTTATGAAAGCGAAGAGAAGGCACACGAAGAAAGTAGGTACTGGGAAGATGTTCAAGAAGAAACAAAGAGCCAAAAGCCGTAAACACGAAAGCCAAAGACACTCATGTCACCTTCATTCATCGATTCATTTTTGCACCCCTAGAAAAGCCCATGTGTGCTGTAAAGAAAGTTCTTTGCTCCATACCTTCCATATTTTGCAAATGACTTGTGGAAGATTCGGCCGGGCTGAGGGGAGAAGGAGCCATACTTTTCTTTTACAAGCAGACACTTTACCCTGTGGTCAGCAGGTGGGGGCAGAGGCTGGGGTGCTGCTGTCCCCGCCACTCGCCGGGCGTCAGACCCACGCACGTGTGCACTCGGTGGTCTTGACTCAGTGCCCACGAGTGCAGACCTGGGTGAAGAAAGAAGGAAGTCTGATTCCCTGCTGCCTTTTCAAAATGTCCTTGTTGCTTTTTCTCATTATCCCCTATTGCCAAAAAGTAAATTATAAAGTTAATTTTTAGCAGCAAAGCATGCACACGTTTTGGTCTTTGCTTTTTTGGCATAAATTTATCAGTAGAATCAGCATTCTGATTGTGAAGCCAAGTTTTCATAAGCATGCACATGTAGTTGTTTTTTGTTAAAGGAGAAAAATATTCTTATTCCTTTCTTAACACGCTGTGAGCTGCTATCCTATGGCTGACACAGGGAGGAGTTTCTTCCCGAAAAGGATTCTTTCCTCCCATTTTGCAGCACGGAAGTCCACACTACAGCCACACTAGAACCTAGCAAACGTCTTAGGTTGTTGGTGTCAATGCAGAACCCCTTTAAAGAACAAAGGATGAGGAGGCCACTAACATTTCCTCTTACTGCCTTCTGTGGCCACAGAGCCACTGACCACTGTACTCAGGCACATCCTATAAACATGCCCCGACGTGCAGAGCCTGAAGAGCTTTCCAAGAATTGTATTTGACTGTTTTGCCTTCCATGCACACACTGGAAGAAGCAACAGGCTACTCCTTGATTTGGGCAAAGGCGCTGCCCTGGCCCTCGGGGAGCACTGCACAGCTGGCAGGGTGGCCGGCTGTGGGCATTCCAGTTCATGCTCTTGTTTCTTTCCTGCCCCGCAGAATACGCCCAGGAAAGTCAAAACTGGGTCCTGTCTTATTTAAGACGTCTCCTTCCTCAGTGTTTGTGGTCATGGTATTGAAACAAAGTTATTAATCCAACTTAATTCTTTGTTTTGTCTTTGCTTTTCTTTCTTTTTTTTTTTTTTTTTTTTTTTTTGAGACAGAACCTCACTCTGTTGCCCAGGCTGGAGTATAGCGGCAATACCTCAGTTCACTGCACCTCCACCTCCTGAGTTCAAGCGGTTCTCCTGCCTCAGCCTGGGACTACAGGTGTGAGCCCCCACTCCTGGCTAATTTTATGTATGTTTAATAGAGACGAGGTTTCTCCATGTTGGCCAGGCTGGTCTCGAACTCCTGACCTCAAGTGACCTGCCCGCCTCAGTCTTCCAAAGTGCTGAGATTACAGGCATGAGCCACCATGCCAGGCTGAATCAACTTAATTCTGTTTTAAAAGTTAATGAAGGCATTACTCGAGTTATGCAATGGGCCAAGCATTGAAGAATAAAATGGCAGGGACTTATGGTTTGAAAGGGAAGTCAGATGAATAAATACACTACAAGATAACACACATTTAATAAAGGCATCCACATAAAAAGTACCCTGGGCTATGGGAAGACAGGGCTGACAGTACCTCTATTTAGGTGAGAAGGAGCAAGGACAGACACTGAGCTGAGGCAGGAAGTATGAGGTAGTTCAGCCCGGTGGTTACTGCCCGGGTCCCCCAGCATGGCCCTGCCACTTGCTAGCTTTGTGCCAGAGGCATTCGGTTACCCTCTCTGAGCCGTAATTTCCTTACCCATAGAATGGAGATGATCACGCTTTTTAGATAGTCAACTCATATACTATTATAGGGGCTACATTAAATCAACAACATATAGAAATGACTGCAGGTAGCAGGTGCTCAGTACACACACCCAGTACTATCACTTAAGCTGAACGAGAAGGGTGATGTGGAGGAAAGAGCAATGCACACCCAGGCGTGGAGGCACGAGGGTGCTTGTCTTCCTCAGGAAAGGCCTCAGAACTCCTGTGTGAGTGGAGGGAAAGGTGCTCCTGGAGCAGTGCAGGGGAGGAGGCCAGAATGGCAGCCGGCTGTGGGGATTATTAAGCAGGAGGGTGATGAGACAGACACTGTCCCTCTCCTTCCATCTGCGCCCCTCTCTCGTCCTTTGCACCTTTCCATTCTAATAGCCGGCTTAACTTCTATTGCCTGAGGGTTTCGTCAGCCCCCTGCCTCCAATGACTGCAGGAGGGCAATGAACAGCTACAGAACTGACACCGTTCATTGCCTGATGAGTCGGAGTATACGTAACCCAGCCCTCGCACCCCTCAGAGGCATATATTCTCTGGGACTCCTAGAGTTGCCCAGCAACATTCAGCTCCAGCTACCCACAGTGGTAACTGGCTTGACAACACACCCTTTCTTAGCTGGCTTCCCTTCTCTACCTTCCTTCCCTACTCCCAAATAGATCATCTACACCAGAATCCTCGTTTCAGAGTCTGCTTTTGACAAAACCCATAGTGAGATACAAGCCATGACCATATCATCTATTTAGAAAAATACTTCTAGAGGCAGGTGAATAATGGATTGGACTGGGTAGAGCCTAGAGGCAGAGCTAGGAGGCTATGGCAATCGTCAAGGAAGGAGGGGATGGGGGCTGGAATCATCTTGTATTGAAAGAGTAGAGAGGAAGGGATGGACCCCAGAGACACTGAGGCAAGTCCTAGTGACTGTGGCATGTGGTCCAGTTGAGAGGGAGGAGGAATCGATTTTGCTGCATGTTGGAGCCCAGCAGAACATTCAGCCGGAGAATCTCCATGGAAGGCTGGATCAAAGGTTTGGATCTGGGAATTCTTGCGAATGGCAGCTGAGGTCATGGGGATGAATGAGGCCCCTGGGAGAGGCTAAAGAAGTGGAGCTAAGGCTCGAATCCTGGAGACACTAAGAGTTGAGGGTGGAAACAGAAAGAGGCCTCAGTGAGACGTAGAAGCAATAGCCAAAGAGAAAGGAGATAACCTGGAAAGAACGTCCCTTTTTATCCGAGGAAGAACGTCAGCAGGGCAGGGTCGCCAGCAAGCGTTACATGTTGCAGTGAATTCAGAAGACACGCAGGGTGGGACACAGGCTGCTGGGACTGGCAGTGGGCATGTCACTGAGGATCTCAGCAGTGTCAGTAAGTGACGGAGACAGAGGCAAGACTGTGGGAGGCTGAGAAATGGAAGGGAGGGGCGGACGAGCTCAGGGAGAGGGGAACATTTCTCAGAATGCTTGCTGGTGGAGGGAGGGGAAAGAGACTTGGACGAGGGGGAGAGAAGTCTAAAGGAAGGGAAGGTGTTTTTTGAAAAGATGGGGTAGACGTGATGAAGGCTATGGTCTGAAAGCAACAAATATATGGGAAGAGAAGTCATGGGAGAGCAGAAAGGGGATGGCTGGTGGAGGACAGTGGGTGAGGAGGCTGCCGAGGAGGAGGTCGGCATTCAGGAGGACCCGGGGACTTCTGAGAGTGGAGATGAGAAGGTGAGAATGGATGAAATCACAGGTGAGCGTGGAGACGATGACCGCTGTGCCCGCGCCATTCCGCTTGGAGGGAATCTGGGCTGGGCCGGAGTTGGTGGTGGAGAGTGTCACGAACTACAGGGTAGCTCTCAAACCGGGGCTGCTTTCAGAGCCTGGGGTGGTGCATAGAGGGCCCTGAGCACCCGGAAAGCGAGCGGCCTGAGAACCAGGAGAGCGCAGCGAGGAGGAGGAGCCCCTGCCAAGCCCAGGACCCCTGGGAGCCCGCGGCGGACCTGCCCCGTCAGCGCCCGCAGCCGCACCTCTGCCCCCGGAGCTCTTAGATGCCATTGGTCTCTGAAAGGGAGACTTGATGGGGTCAGAGCCCAAAGGTTTCTACTTAGTCCTCTGCTAAGTAAGAGGCTAGGTCCTCCCGGGTTCAAGCGATTCTCCCGCCTCAGCCTCCTGCATGGGTAGAATTACAGGCGCCCGCCACCACGCTCGGCTAATTTTTGTATTTTCAGTAGAGGCAGGGTTTCGCCACGTTGGCCAGGCTGGTCTCGAACTCCCGACCTCACGTGATGCGCCCATCTCGGCCTCCCAGAGTGCTGGGATTACATGCTTGCGCCACTGCGCCCGGGCCTTCGCGTTTATTCAGGGAAGTCCGTGCCCGGTGTGGGGTGCAGTCTCACGGCGCCTGGGCCCGTTGCCCTCCCGTACCCCGCTTGGCGCTGGAAAGCCGGTTACCTGAACGCGCCGTCCTTCCTTTCCGCGGCTGGCGGCGGCGGCGCCACTTCCGCTCTGCGCAGGCGCACGGGGCGCCGGGCCCCCCTGCTGACCGTCCCGCGCAGGCGCACGGGGCGCCGGCCGCCGCCTCCGCCCCCCCCCCCCACTCCGGCTGACCGTCCCGCGCAGGCGCGGCAGGTGCACCGACCTTCTCATCACCTCCCGCCCCGCGTGGCGCTCGGCGGGCGTGGATCGAGCCTCTTCCTGCCCTCTGGGTGCGGCATCTTCACTGCCGCCTCTGCCCTCGGTTCTCACGCCTGCCCGCTCGACCTCGCCCCTGCCCCACTGCCCTCAGGACCCCACGCCAGATGCAGCCACGTGGGTGGGTGACAGCATCAGGAAACTGGAAGCGTGTCTTTGGAATGGGATTACAACTGTTTGAAAATCGTTCTGTCTCCCTAGCTTATGAATTCTGTTTCTTTGTTTTTTTGTTTAGTTCTGAGACGGAGTCTTGCTCCGTCGCCCAGGCTGGAGGGCAGTGGTGCGATCTCGGCTCACCGCCACCTCCGCCTCTTGGGGTCCAGCGATTCTCCTGCCTGAGCCAGCCGACTAGCTTGGATTACAGGCGCGCGCCACCACGCCTGGCTAATTTTTTGTATTTTTAGTAAAGACTGGTTTTGCCATGTTGGCCAGGCTGGGCTCGAACTCCTGATCTCAGGTGATCTGCCCGCCTCGGCCTCCCAAAGTGCTGAGATTACAGGCATGAACTACCGTGCCAGGCCGCCATATCATAGGAATTCTTAATTGCTAGATCAAGAAAATCTTTAAATTATCTAGTTAATCCTGGTTATTCCTGAAGAAAATATCTCAACTTTCCACTTGGCTTACAAATCCAAATTTGTTAATAACCAATGCATATTGATGAATGAGCAAATTTAAAATGGAAGAAACACAGATATAACCAGGTGCAGGTCTGAGTCGTGTCAGCATTTTTCTTATTTTTAAATATACATTATTCTAAATATATAATTTAAATATATCAAATATCGAAACATAAATGGT